TAACCTTCTGAGGCAGTGCCAGTAATGTCATTCCCATTCTGTTTTATTTTTAATATATTTTATTTCATTAAATATTTTGCAATTACATGTAAAAAATTAACTTTTTTTTTAAATCTTGGGATCCAAATCCTCTCCCTCCCCTCCCACCCCACACCACTTTTTGAGAAGGCTAATAATTTCATATCAATTATGTATGTGAAGTCATAGAAAACATATTTCCATGTTGGCTATGCTGCAAAGGAAATTACAGACAAAAAACATAAAACAAGAAAAATAAAGAATTTTTTAAAAAAATATATGCTTCCACCTGCACTCAGACTTCATCAGTTCTTTCTCTGGAGGTAGATAGCATGTTCCATCATGGAATTGTCTTGGATCATTGTCTTGATCAGAGGAGCTAGTCTTTCACGGTAGATTGTCTTTATCATATTGCTTTTACTGTGTACAATATTCTCCTCTTTCTGTTCACTTCATTTTGTGTGAGTTCATACAAACTTTTCATGGTTTTTTTTCTGAAACCATTCTGCTCATCATTTCTTATAGCACAATAGTATTCCATCACAATTATATACCATAGCTTGTTCAGACATTTGCCAATTAATGGGCACCTGGTTTTATGAAAACAACAACAATGAAATAAATAAATCTTTGGTTAATTTGGTTAAAAAAGAAAGAATAAAACCAAATTACTACTATTAAAAATGAAAAAAGGAAATACACCACCAATGAAGATGAAATTAGAGCAATTATTAGGAGTTATTTTGCCCAACAATATGCCCATAAAATTAACAATCTAAGTGAAATTATAAATATAAATTGCCCAGATTAACCGAAGAGGAAACAATGCTTAAATAACCTTACCTTAGAAAAAGAAATTGAGGAAACCATCAATGAACTCCCTAAGGAAAAATCCCCAAGACCAGATGGATTTAAAAATGAATTCTACCAAACATTTTAGGAATTTGGAAGGCCTCTTTCTTCACCTTTTTATTCTTTCCTAGAGCATTGGAGTGATACTATATAAAGTATTTGACAAAATATGTAAAAAAGGAGTCTTCCCAAATTCCCTTTATGACACAAATATGGTTTTGAAACCTAAACCATGGGGAACAAAAACAGAGAAAGAAAACTATAGATCAATTTCCTTACTGAATAAAAAGCTAAATAAAATAATATCAAGGAGATTGCAACATATATCACAGAGGTCGTACACTATGACCAGGTGGGATTTCTACCAGGAATCCAGGATTGGTTCAGTATTAGGAAAGTCATCAGCATAATTGGTCATATCAATAATAAAACCAACAGAAATTATATGATTATGTCAATAGATGAAGAAAAAGCCTTTAACAAAACACAAAACCCATTCTTATGAAAAATACTAGAAAAATAGGCATAAATGAACCCTTTCTTAAAATGATAAATGGTATCTATCTAAAATCAAGAACAAGCATTATTTGTAATGGGATAAACCTGAAGCCTACACAGTAAGATCAGAGGTGAAGCAAGAATGTCCATTATCCCCACTATTATTTAATATGGTACTAAAATGGTAGCTAGAGTAATGAGAAGAAAAATAAATTGGAAGAATAAAAATAGGCAATGAGGAAACAAAACTGTCACTCTTTGCAGATGATGTGATGATATAGAGAATCAACTAAAAAACTAGTGGAAACAACTAACAATTTCAGCAAAGTTGCAGGATATAAAATAAACCAACATAAATCATTAGCATTTCAACATGCTACCAACCAGCTGCAACATACAGAAAGAGAAATTCCACTTAAAATAATTGCGGACAATATACAATGTTTGGGGGTCTAATTGCCATGGAAAATCTTATATGAACACAATTACAAAACACTTTTCACAGAAATAAACACAGATTCAAACAATTGGAGAAACATTAATGGCTCATGGGTATGCTGATCCAATATAATAAAAATTATAATTCTATCTGTTATTTTACTTATTCAGTGTCATACCAATGAAAGTAGAAGAAAGGAATTATTTTACAGAGATAGAAAATATAATAACAAAATTCATCTGGAAAAAAAGGTCAAGAATATCAAGGGAATTTTTGAAAAAAATATTAAGAAAGTTAGTTACAGTACCAGATTCCAAACTATATTACAATGTGATAATCAACAAAAGGTTGTGCTACTGACTTATAAATAGAGTGGTGGATCAGTAGAATAGATTCGGCGCACACTTGAATCCAATAAGTTTTTTCATTTGTTTTGTACTTCTCTGATATACCTGTCACGTCAATCTCATTTTATTCCTTTTCCCATTCCAGAAAATTCATGTCCTGATACAAAACTTCCTTTTAGCAATGGCCCTGTGAATGGCATCTTTGACCTCCTTGTTCCTTAGGCCATAGATGAGAGGGTTCAACATGGGAGTCACTGAAGTATAAAACATAGAGACAAGTTTATCGGTGTCCATGGAGAAACTTGAGTTAGGCCGCACGTAAACGAAGAAGAGGGTCCCATATAAGATGGTGACAGCAGTGAGATGGGAAGAACAGGTGGAGAAGGCTTTCTGTCTCCCTTCTGCAGATTGGATCCTCAGGATGGCTGTGAGGATGTAGATGTAGGAGACCAGGATGATCAGGCCACTGAAGATGCCAACAAGCCCAGCAATAACAAAAACTAATAACTTATTGATGTTGGTATCAGCACATATGAGGGAAAAAAGGGGAAAGATGTCACAGAAGAAATGATTGATGACATTTGGACCACAGAAAGGGAGATGAAAAGCAACAGTGGAGTGAATCATGGTATTTATGAACCCAGCAGCATAGGGGACAGCCACCAGCTGGTTGCTGTGTTTCTGGGACATTGAGATGGAGTAAAGCAGTGGGTTACAGATCGCAGCATAGCGGTCATAGGCCATGGATGCCAAGAGGAAGCATTCAATGGTCACAAAAAGCCCAAAGAAGCACTGCTGTAAGACACAGCCCAGGAAAGAGATGGTCTTTCTCTCCTCAAAGAAGTCTCTAAGCATTTTGGGAGCCACTGTGGAAGAGAAGCTCATGTCCACAAAAGACAGGTGGCTGAGAAAAAATACATGGGAGTGTGAAGGTGGGCATCAACCCGGATGAGGATGATCATTCCCAGATTGCCTGTCATGTTAATGAGATAAAAAAGTAGAACTAGAAGGAAAAGGGTGACCTGCAGCTTCAGATGATACTTCAAGCCCACAAAAATGAACTCAGTGACTCTAGTGTAGTTTCCACTGGCCATTTATTCCTGGTGCTTTCTGCTGAGGGATAGACAAATATATACTGTCATAGGATTCTAGGATTGTGAGGGCGGAGAGACCTTATGGTTCAAATTGTGGAGCTGGAAGCTACCTTAGAATCCATCTAATTCAATCCTTTTACTTTGTAAATGGGGAAACTGAGGCTTATGATCATTAATATCCCATCATTTAGCATTGAGATCTAAATCTAATAACCCTAATTATGCATCTACTGCCCTGTCATTTGAATCATCATCTTCAGTCATATGAATCTATATCTATGAAGACATAACCGCCATCACTTGGGAAGAGAGAGAATTGCTTTGTATTGCTTTGTTGATGCTGTTGTTGTTGGTGGTGGTGGTGGTGATGGTGATGGCAGCTGTGGTGGTAATGCTGGTGCAGATGGTGGTGTTTTCAGCCCTGGCGTCTGCAAATGTATTAGGTCAAAGTTGACTCGGTACTTACATTAAATTTTTTGAAACATAACAAGAAGAATGATAAATGGCGATTAGTTTGGAACAACTGATTTCATGCTAGAAAAGACCCAGGACTTTGTGATCTTGCTCCGTTTTCCAAACTCCAAAAATACTGTAGTGTGTGAATGACTTGAAACCAGCAATGATTTGGCTATGATTTCATTTTGTCATAGCAATTAGAATGTGCATGTGTTTGCACCAAAGTTAGGTTAACTCAAGCTGTTGAACCTTAGCCAAATGAAAATAGATTGAGCTGATTTGTCTACAATTACTTAGTTTTCTTATCAGTTAAGTTTGGAATTCATGATACTCACCATTGTTTTATTGATTTCTTTTGTTGTGTCTTAAATTATTTGGTTTTTAAGAATGGATGCTGCTTCATAATGATATGCAAACTTTGCAACTCTTCAAAACCACACTTCAGTGACTGTTAGAGACATTGCAGTGGCTGTGGGTATGCAAAAGTCAAGCACTTCAAGAATCATCCAAAACCACAATATGACCAGAGCAGCAACACTTCAACAAAAAAGAATGTTATCATTGAAAATGCAAAAACTGACACACTAAAACGAAGCAGTCTATTTAGTGCCCATAAAATAACTGAAGACATTGGTTGGGGCCTGACACAGGAATTGTCACAGGGCTGCGCCCTGCCTATCGGAGTCCTTGCTTCCAAGCAGGAAGTTGAGGGTCACAGTCTGTTGTGTGAAAGCAAGGAAGTCTTAACTGACCTCTCCTCTGTGGACACGCAGCAACCATGGCTGGTTCGGCTCTCCTCTGAATGGCTAAGAGTTCCCGTGAACATCCTGTTCACGACCCTAACAGGAGGCATGCATGCTATGAGGGGATCTACTGACTGGCTGTAGGGCTCTGATCATGCAATCCCAAGGTGCCTTGAGGGCTATAAAGGTCACACCCAGCTTACAATAAACAGGAGCTTCTGCCACCTTGCTGTCTCCCACCTCATCCATGCGTCTCCAGGTTATTGAGCACTGAGCTGGTCTCATGCTCTCCACTGCAGTGGCCGCAACAGGGGCCATGTAGATTGAGTGGTTATTAGCAATTATTTTTCAACATGGCATAAGCTTCATGAAGTTTTAAGACAGTAAAACAATAAGAACAATTACAAGAACAACAAAGCAGTTTTTAACAATTTTTTATGGAGAAGGAGATATCAAATGGCAAATGGCAAAAAAAAATTAAGAGACTGAACTACAGAAGATTCGAAAAGGGTAATTTGTTCACATAAAACTTATTTTTTTTCCTTCAAGGCAATGCCAAAATTGTTCTCAAAAGAAGTGTAGTTGAAACTATTCAACATAGGCATCTTCATCAGATTGTAAAGTATTCACCTAACAAAATTGGGATATTTTATTGTAATTCCCCTGAGCCTAAAATCTTGTCCCATAGTGAGGGGATAATGAATTCTACTAAATATGTCGATATGTTGAAAAGCAGAATTGTTTCAAAGTTATAGAACTTGATAAATGAGGATGAAACATTGCAATATGATCTTTTACCCTACCATATATTATGAAAATTTAAGAATTATATCCAATAGACGAATAAAAATTATTTGTCATTGGCCTGGGAATTTAATTTTCAATGGAAAATTTATGGACCATAATCAAGTCTATATTTGGAAATATTTATTATTCTTCTCAAGGAGCTGAATATGTAATATGGTTGCAATTTCATGATGCAGAATAATATATGTTAAAATATTTTAAATCAAATGCCAAATCATCTCAAAACAAGTAACTATAATAAAAGCACATATTGCATATTAAGACATTTTAAGGTGTAAAAATTTATTGGATGTCAAGAAATTCAATTATTGTACTTGGTTCCAAGAAATTTATACAAAACTGTAACATCATATTATCTATAGCTGGAAAAGATCTTCAAGAGCATCTTGTCCAAACTTTTCATTTTATAAGTAGAAAAATTGAGGTTAAGAGAGGGGAAGTGGCTTGCCTGAGATTACCCAGCTACAAAATGAGAAACTGATGTTGAATTTCAATTTCTAGTCTCCAATGCAGGGCTATTTCTTGTTTTCCATGCTGTTCCTGCCCATCCTAGCTCAGAATTCCTTCAAAAGCAGAATTGGCTAAATGGAAAAAGAAATACAAAAGTTCACTGAAGAAAAGAATTCCTTAGAATGCAGAATTGGGCAAGTGGAAATTCATGACTCTATAAGACATAAAGAAGCAATAAAACAAAGTCAAAAGAATGAAAAAAGAAAATTTGAAACCTCATAGGAAAAACAACTAACCTGGAAAATAACTCAAGAAAAGATAACTTAAGAATTATTGGATTACTTGAAAGCCATGATAAAAAAACAAAGCCTAGATAACATATTTCAGGAAATCATCTAGGAAAACTGGCATAACATCCTGATCCAGAAGGAAAAATAGAAATTGAAAGGATCTATGGATCACCTCGTCAAAGAGATTCCATAATGGAAAATTCCCGGGGATATTATAGCCAGAGCTCTCAGGGCAAGGAAAAAATAATACAAGTGTCCAAAAAGAAATTATTCAAATATCACTGAGATAAAGTCAGGATCACGCAAGATTTAGCAATTTCCATGTTAAAGAAGCAGAGGGCTTAGCATATGATATGCCAGAAGGCAAAGGAACTAGGATTATAACCAAGAATAACCTACCCAGCAAAACTGAGTATAATCCTATACGAGGAAGGGGAGGGGAGGGTGGGAATGGATATATAATGAAATAGAGGACTTTGAAGCATTCCTGATGAAAAGACCAGAGCTGAATAGAAAATTTGACATTAAAATAGAAGGCACAAGAGAAAGTAAACAATAAAAAGTAAACATGCAAGAGTAGTTATAAGAGACTCAATAAAGTTAAAGTGTTTCCATTCCTGTATGGGAAGATGATTCCTGTAACTCCTAAGAACTTGATCATTATTAGGGCAGTTGACAGGAGTCTACATAGACGGGGGCGGAGGGGGATGTGTGTGAGTCAATTATGTTGGTATGAGTTTTTTTTTTTTAAGAAAAGGAGATAGAGGGAGAAGGGAAAAGGAGTAGTTAGAATGCAGACAATTTCCTCACATAAAAGAGGTTTGCAAGGAAAAGCTTTTATCACGGAGGGAAAATGGGGAAGGGATGGTGGGCAATTTTTGAATCTCACTCTCCTCAGATTTGGTTCAAAAAGAAAATATGTATGTGTGTATTATATATACACACACATATGTATACACACGCTCTGTTGTGTATTGAAATCTATCTCACCTCATAGGGAATAAGAGGGGAAGGGGATAAGATTTATAATGGGGACAGAGGAGAATGGAGTGATAAAAAGGAGGGCAGATTAAAGGAAGAGGTGGTCAGAAGGAAAATGGAATTTTAAGAAAGGAGAGGATGAAAAGAGAAAGAGAAGGATACATGGAAGAGAACAGGATAGAGGGAAATACGTTATCAGTAATCATACATGTGAAAGGGATGAGTTCACTCATAAAATGGAAGCAGATAATAGAATAGATTAGAAACCAGAATCCAACAATATATTGCTTACAAGAGTCCTACAGAGTTAAAATAGTGAGCTGGAGCAGAATCTATTATGCTTCAGCTGAAGTAAAAAAGGCTGGGGTAGCAATCATGATCTCAGACAATGCAAAAGCAAAGATAGTTCTAATTAAAAGACATAATCAGGGGGTCAGCTAGGTGCCGCAGTGGATAGAGTACCAGCCCTGAAGTCAGGAGGACTTGAGTTCAAATCTGGCCTCAGACCAAACACTTGACACTTACTAGCTATGTGACCCTGGGCAAGTCACTTAACCCCAATCGCCTTAAAAAAGAGAGAGAGAGAGAGATAATCAGGGAGCCACATTTTGCTAAAAGGAACCATAAACAATAAGATAATATTAAAAAATTTTTATATCAAGTTTCTTTTATAAATGCCTCATTTCTCAAATATATAAGGAATGGAGTCAAATTTATACAAACAGGACTCATTCCCCAGATGGTAAATGGTCAAGGGATGTGAACAGTTTTCTTTTTTTTTTTTTAGACAGTTTTCAAAAGAAGGAATCAAAGCTATCTATAGTTATATCAAAAAATGCTCTAAATGATTATATATATATATATAAACAATTTGTAACTATTAAATGGGTACACTAAATACGCTAAAAAACTGTTGGTGAAATTGTGAACTGGTCCAATCATTCTGAAGAACAACTTGGAACTTTCCCAAAGGATTATCAAACTGTGCGTATACTCTCTGATCCAGCAATGCCACTACTAGGTCTGTAGCCCCAAAGAGAATAAAGAAAAAGGAAAAGGATCTATATGTAAAAACATGTTTATAACAGCTTTTTGTGGTGGCAAAGAATTAGAAATTGAGGGGATGCTCATCAGTTGGGGAATGGCTGAACAAGTTGTGGAATATGATTGTGATGGTATGCTATTGTGACATAAGAAATGATGAGGGGTGGTTTCAGAAAAAAACAGCAAAACCTACATGAACTGATTACAAGTGAAGTAAGAAGAACCAGGA